GATCGATGACAATAAAACCTCCGAGGTTCTAGCCATTGAAGAAGATCAAACATCCTTCGATCCATCACTTCTTATCACACCTGTAGGTGAGCCCATGATCAAGACAGCTTATATAACCTCTCTCGATGAAGTGGCCATAATTGAGGAGGTGGTACGACTGTCGCATTTCTACCAAAAATAAACCTAACTAAAACCTCCTAAAATGTAGTAGGGTAAGCTAGGGTCGATCCCACAGAGAATTGGATTATACAAATTATTACTTGTGTAAGTTAGAAACCCCCATTTTGAACAAATAATGATATGATCTAATAAATAAGCTACTAGCTAAATAACAAATAAAATACGGGGAAATAAACTAATAAAAATTGGAATACGATAAGATCAAGAATTATGAAATAGGGAATCGGGAGATGTATTATAACATTGGAGTATCAAATATTGCTCATCGAATTATACGAATTATGTTTATATCTTAATGTTAACTAATGAACACAAACAAGCATTCAACACTTCCCTTATTTGCAAATACACTAAACGAGCTCTCAGAATATCGTCTAACTAACTAATAATCTAGAACAAGCTCTCTAGACTCGATTAATTAGCCGCATTAATAACAAGGAAGTAGTTAACTTAGGCCACAAATCTCACAAGCTCGGACTTGTGCAACTGAAATGGTTGATAATCTTAGGTATTACGACAAGTTTTAGTCACCAATCAAACACCTAATCACTACTAATGGTATTAACTAGGACAATTACGGATCAAAAGTTAATACTCTAGCGATTAAACTAGCAAATTACACTAAAGATGGTCGGTCTAAAATATAATCCTACTAGTTCATAATAGGAAAAATTAGAAATAATAATCCCAACTTTCATCAATTTTTCTACAATAATCCCAACTTTGGATTATTCTGGAATAATCCAAACTTTGGGGGTTCCTTTTTTCTAGCCTGACATATTAAGAATTAGAATCATAACAATGACAATTATATCACTCATATGACTAAAATGAAAGAAAATAATAATTGAGATTGAACAACTTCGTAGATCATCCAACAAATAATCAAATTGCAATTATTATAAATCACCTAATCTAACAAAGAATTGAAACAATAAAAACAAAAGTAACTTAGCAAATTCTACTACTTTATCCAACGAATTATCATTAAATGAAGCTATACATGCAAAGCTATAAGCTACTAACTAAATAAAGAGTACCAATTATTAGAGTTGAACTTTGGGGAATCAACCATGAGCAATGAGCAGATTCATAAATTGCTTCTTCCTTCCTCTGCTAGCTTCAGTTTTTTTCCCCCGATATCACTCTACCCCAATTCAGATATATACTTCCAATTTATAGTCAACCTAGCCTCCAAATCATCCCCCCAAAAAATATGAACTGAATTCCCCAAAGAGCTCCTCTAACAGAAAGATAAGAGGCGTTTGATTGATCTTAGCTGCTCCGAATATTTCGCTCCAATAATTATCTGATTTCATCCTTTTCTTCTCTTGCTTGATAATTTGATACCCGCGAAAATCGGTGGAAGTTTTACTTTGTGAACCCGCAAGAAAGAGAGATGTTCATGAGCTACCCTTCCTCTTTTGTTCTAGCTAGTAAGCAACTGATATACTACAAGGCCCACTTGGCTATTTGCAATATAACATTATTGGGTTAACACATAAGTGAGTTGATCGGGCTTGTGACCTTTGCGTCGTTTATTCCGAGCGGCAATAAAATATTACTTTGATAACGTAATCTTCCTTCCTACAAACAAATAAATCAAATAGTAGTAACTCGTGTCTCGGGAAGAAAAATTACTTAATAAACATTTAAATTAGTAAAAGTCAATATAAAAACAAGAGTCTAATAAATAAAATAATGTACTTTTATTTCCTTATCAAACTCCCCCAAGCTTATAATTTTGCTTGCCCTCAAGCAAAGACATGAAATTACAAAGGAGCTAGACTCTTGATATATTAATATGCAACCTGACATGTTCCAATCAGGCCACTTTGCTCAATAACAGCTTCAAGTCAAGTATATATGCAGGTAGAAAATTAATTTAAAGAATTTATAAACCAAGATACCAACTCTTAAACAATCACAGCCTAGTTTCCATCAACAAGGTAGCAGAATAACTCAAAAGATCATCAGGTTATGATCCAAAGATGAAATGAGGCCTAGGTAAAGTGCGGTTTGAAGAGTATATATGAGTGTGATGGTAGAGTAAGAATAGTAGAGCAGCAATCATCATCATGTATACAAAATAAAATCCCACAACCTTTGAATCTTTTTTTTTTTTTTTTTTTTTTTTTTTTTTTTTTTTAACGTTTCATGACTCTTAATGCCATGTATCTGTCAAGTAACCCATGTAACGAGCTTTCAACCAGTGACTCCCGGGTCCAGTTGGCCCAAGGCACTAGGTTTTAAGATACCCCAACGGATTTACTAACTCGAGTTACTCAATCAAGACACATAAACATCACACATACATATATAGGCTCAACTTTCTTTCTTTCTTTTCTTTCTTTTTTTTTTAGCCCATACATTGTTACATAGAACCTTCAATATGAAACTTTTTGAATAAAACAACAATCAAATCAATATAACAACCATAATCTTCTTCACACTACATATGCTCTACTAATTTCAGAGAATGGCAAATTTCAAATTTCAGACAATGACTCATAAGGGTAATCAGAAAAATAGGCTAATAATTCTCAGATCGGGATTTTTAATGGATCATGTCATTGGTAAGCTCCTTGGCTTATGGGGTGCAAATACCTTATTGCCTCAATCATTTCTTTCTTATTACAACACCACCATATTGACTTCCATCAGGCTGGTGACTGTGAAAAGAAATTAGTTTTTCAAAAAAAAAAAAAATTATTTTTCTGCATACATACAAGTCTATAAACCAAAGTTAAGCATTGTAGAGTGGCTATGGATCATATATGTAAAGCACTGTTCAAAAATAAATTGTTAGACTCAATTCCATACCAAGAGACAGAACAAGAAACAGACCTGAATGCACTCCCCCCAAGCTTAATTCACACATTGCCCTCAATGTGTGACTTAAAGAATATAAGAACAGGATGAATAAAGGAGAGAAATAGACAGAGAAAAGGAAACGAGCTCACCGGATGAAGTTGGCAAACTGTGTATTCTCTCGTGGCATCCCCCAAGCTTGGACCTGCTCACAATTTCTTGCTGCAAACATTTTCGGATATGGCAGGTCTTGTTTCAGGTTAGTTGTGACTCCAACAGTAGTTGGTGTTCCAGCCAATCTCTCTGTCCTGCAACAACGGACACCAAATCAAAGCAGAATTAGTTTCCAGAATATACAGGGCTTAAAAATAAGAGCTGATGAAATTTCCGAGCTGTTTTTTTTTTATTATTATTTTTTTTTTTATAAAAAAAAATTGAAAATAAACCGACGAGAAAACAAAATTTAAAATAAACTATCACAAAAATTCCTAAATTTAGGCTGCCTCCCAAGAGGGCTCTATTTATCGTCATTAGCTCGACGTCTTTCAAGCATACTAGTCTTCATAATTTGGAGCTTCTAGCTCCAATACTTCAATGTTTTGGACTTGATGACCCTCATAGTATGGCTTGAGTCGATGACCATTCACCTTGAATTCCTTCCCCGTGTCTTCACTATGAATCTCCACCGCACCATGGTCATACACCTTGGTAACAACAAACGGCCCCACCCATCGAGAACGGAGTTTACCAGGAAAAAGTTTGAGCCGAGAATGGTACAAGAGAACTTTCTGTCCCACTGTAAATGTCTTTCTTGTGATGTGCTCATCATGGAATGCCTTAGTTTTCTCCTTATAAATTCTCGTGTTCTCAAAAGCATCATTTCGGATTTCCTCTAGCTCTTGCAACTGAAGTTTCCTTTGCTCACCGGCTGCATCCATCTCCATATTGCATTGTTTCACGGCCCAAAAGGCTTTGTGTTCCAATTCTACTGGAAGATGACAAGGTTTGCCGAACACTAGCCTGTAAGGAGACATCCCAATTGGCGTCTTATAAGCTGTTCTATACGCCCACAAAGCATCGTTAAGGCGGAGGCTCCAATCTTTCCTGTTTGGATTCACAGTTTTCTCGAGAATGAACTTGATTTCCCGATTGGAAACCTCTGCCTGTCCATTTGTTTGTGGGTGATACGCAGTGGAAACTCGGTGAAACACATTATACTTCTTTAAGAGAGCTCCGACTGTTTTGTTGTAGAAGTGTGTCCCCTTGTCATTGATGATGGCCCTTGGAAATCCGTATCTAGCAAAGATATTTGATTTCAAAAATTCTACAACAACTTTAGAATCATCAGTACGGGTGGCTATAGCTTCCACCCATTTCGAAACATAGTCTAGGCTAGCAAAATATATTGAAAACCAAAAGAAGAGGGGAAGGGTCCCATGAAATCCATACCCAAACGTCAAAAATTTCACATATTAAAATGGGAGTTTGGGGCATTTCATTCCTAGGACCTAATGTACCTGTCCTTTGACATTTGTCACAAGCCTTACAGATTTCATATGCATCTTTGAAAATTGAAGAAACCACTCTCTAAAACCTAGCGTGCGGTCCTTTTAGGTCCGAAATGTCCACCACAAGCATAAGAATGGCAAAAAGTTAGTATAGAAAGAAATTCAGAATCAGGTACACACCTTCTGATCAGTTGATCAGTACAAAATTTCCAGAGATATGGGTCATCCCATATGTAGTATTTTGCTGTGCTTCGCATCCGATCTTTTTGCGCTTTACTGTAGCTGACTGGAAACTTCCCGGATACAAGAAAATTCACCAAATCAGCATACCACGGAGTTCCTGAGATCAAAGCATGAAGTTGCTCGTCGGGGAACTCTTCATTAATTGGAGCTTTACCTTCATCAGCTACAACAATTAACAATTAACCTGCTCAAATGATCAGCAACACTATTTTCAGAACCTTTTTTATCTTTTATTTCAATATTAAATTACTGAAGCAATAAAATCCAACGTATTAGCCTAGGTTTGGATACATCCTTTGACCATAAATATTTCAGCGCTGCATGATCTGTAAACACAACAATTTTAGTACCCGATAAATAAGACCTGAATTTGTCTAAAGCAAAAACTACAGCTAAAAGTTCTTTCTCAGTTGTAGTATAATTAACTTGAGCCGCATCCAAAGTCTTCGAAACATAGTAGATGGCATGGGGAACTTTTCCAACTCGCTGCCCTAACACTGCACCCACGGCATAATTAGAACATCGCACATCAGCTCGAACGGAAGCTCCCAATTAGGAGGTTGTAGAAAAGGGCAGTGACCAACTTGTCTTTTAGCTTATCAAATGCGTGCTTACAGGTCTCATCAAAGTGGAACTCCACGTCCTTTTGGAGTAGTCTGCATAGTGGTTGTGCAATCTTTGAAAAGCCTTCAATAAACCTTCGATAGAAACCTGCATGGCCAAGAAAAGAACTAACTTCCCGCACAGAGGCGGGGTAAGGCAGAGAAGAAATAAGGTCTATTTTAGCTTTATCGACTTTTATTCCTTCAGAAGACACAATATGGCCTAAAACTATACCTTGTTGAACCATGAAATGACATTTTTCAGAATTAAGCACAAGGTTAGTTTCAAGACAACGTTTAAGAACTAAAGTGAGATATTCTAAGCAATTATCAAAAGAATCTCCATGTACAGTGAAATCATCCATGAAAACTTCTATAAAATTTTCAAGATAATCTGAAAAGATGCTTACCATACATCTCTGAAAAGTCGCTGGAGCATTGCACAATCCAAATGGCATACGACGATACGCAAATGTGCCATACGGGCATGTGAACGTCGTTTTTTCTTGATCCTCCGGAGCTATAGGAACCTGCACATAACCTGAATATCCGTCAAGAAAACAGTAATAAGCATGACCAGCAAGACGTTCTACCATTTGATCAATAAAGGGTAAGGGAAAATGATCTTTTCGAGTCATAGAATTAAGTTTCCTGTAATCAACACAAACTCTCCACCCATTTTGCACTCGGGTGGGAACCATTTCTCCCTTATCATTCTCCACCACTGTGACTCCTGACTTTTTTGGGACCACTTGCAAGGGACTGACCCAAGGGCTATCTGATATAGGGTATATCACCCCCACTTCGAGAAGCTTTAGTACTTCTTTCTTCACCACTTCCATCATAGGTGGATTAAGTCGTCGTTGCACTTGTCTCACGGGTTTAGCTCCCTCTTCTAATAAGATTCTATGTTGGCACATAGAGGGGCTATACCCTTTAATATCTGCAACTGTCCACCCTAAGGCTGTTTTGTGCTCCTTGAGAACTTGCACCAGCTTTTGCTCTTGAGTTGGAGTTAGATTACTCGCAATTATGACTGGAAGCGTGTCATTCTCTCCCAAAAATGCATACTTCAAGTGGTCAGGCAAAGGTTTTAACTCCACTTCAGGTGGTTGTACAACAGAAGGTAAAAGTCTGTTAGATGTGACAGGCAATTTCATAAATTTATCTGCATACCTTCCTTGCTTATTTGGAAGCACTTCCAAGGAGGAGAAAGCTTCCTTGACATCATTTTTGAGCTCAAAATGTTCCTGCAGGTTAGTGTATTGCTCTTTTTCCATAGATTCAGTCAAAACAACATCTAATGCATCATGACCAGAGAGAAAAAATACTTGCTCAGTTAATGCATCAATGACATCTATACTAGAAACAGATTCACAATCAGAGGGGTATCTCATGGCATCAAATAAATTAAACCGGATAACCTCCCCATCAAATTCCATAGTCAAAATCCCACTATGAACATCAATCTTGGTTCTAGATGTTTTTAGAAAAGGTCTCCCTAATAAGATTGGTGTTGCATTAGAAGATTCATCATTTGGCATATCTAACACATAAAAATCAGCAGGAAACACAAGTTCATTTACTTGTACTAAGACATCCTCAATCACTCCTAAAGGATAAGTATTAGAACGGTCAGCAAGTTGAATAATCACACGAGTATCTTGTAAAGGTCCTAAGTTCAGAGCTTTATAAATAGATAAAGGCATCACATTAATAGAAGCTCCTAAGTCTAACATGCACCTCTCATATCTCGTGTTACCTATTCTACAAGGTATAGTAAAAATACCTGGATCCTTGCACTTGGGAAGAATTTTCCTCTGTAAGACAGCAGATACGTTCTCACTTACACTGACCTTTTCATCTCCATTCAATTTCCGCTTGTTAGTGCATAAATCCTTCAGAAACTTTGCATAACGCGGCACTTGTCTAATGGCTTCCAGTAAAGGTATGTTCACCTCTACCTTGCGAAATACATATAGCACCTGCTTTTCCATCTCTTTCTTCTTATCCTTAGAAGTTAACCTGCTAGGGAAAGGAACAGAAGAAGAAAAATGGTTAGTTTTGGATGAAACAACATCACTTACCTTAGAGGGCTGCTCATTTTTTTCTGGAACAACAGTCTCCTGTTCCTCTTCGTGTTCTGCTAGCACTTCACTCTTGCTTTTTTCTGGAACCTCTAGCGCTTGCCACTTCTAAGTGATATGGCGCTTGCATTCTCCTTCGGATTTCTCTCTGGTTGGCTAGGCAACTTGTTAGAATTCTGAGCTGGAGTTTTCCCACTGTGTTAGCTAACTGAGAAACTTGGTTCTCCAAGTTCTTTAGTCCACTTCTTGTTTCTTGCAGAAAATTCAAAGTGTTGTCAGCCATTACCTTCACGACTTCTTCTAGAGACATGCTACCAGATTTTGGCTGGGAAACTTGCTGATTTTGAGGTCGCGGCTGATATTGCGGTTGTGGATGAAAACCAGGTGGAGGATTAGGTACTTGTTGTTGCTGGAAAGCTGGTTGTCTGAGGTTGGAGTTGCCTGCTTGCTGCTGAACATTGCCATATCTCAGGTTTGGATGATCTCTCCACCCCGGATTATAAGTCCGAGAGAACGGATCATAACGCCTTTGCTGCCCCTGACCACCACCAATAGAATTCACTTGTTCCTCTTGCATAGTAGGGCACATATCAGTTGGGTGTCCTGCTATCGAACATATGCCACAAACTTTTTCTTGCCCTTTTTCAATCATCACTCGCTCCACTAAAGAAGTGAGTTTGGCTAATTGTTGCTCGAAGTTAGAACTCACTACTTCATTAACTTGACGTATAGAACTGGACTTAATATTTCGACCTCCACGGTACTGAGAGTTTGCTGCCATATTTGCTATCAGTGTCTTTGCCTCTGCGGCTGCGGGTGTCTTATCAACCAATGCTCCGCCACTTGCAGCATCAATTAGGTTCCGATCCGATTCCGTGAGCCCTTCATAAAAGTATTGCACTAACAACTGCTCACTGATCTGATGGTTAGGACAGCTGTCACATAGCTTTTTGAACCGCTCCCAATACTCATGAAGTGTCTCTGCATCTTCTTGTCGAATCCCACATATTTCTGTGATGGTTCCTGCAGGCAGTCCGAACAGCCACTCCTTGGCAGCATCAGTCAAGGCAAAAGGAAAGGCCTTTAACTTGAGCTGATCAAGGGTTACACCAGCAGGTTTCATCCCCGAACATGCTATGTGAAATTCCTTCAAAAACCTGTTCGCCTCATTCATGTAAACTGAACCCAAGGAACTAGTATTGCGGAAACCTGAAAATGTGGGTAATGCTCTGATCAGTCCAGGCTTGATCTCACATTCTTCCCCGCCATCTAATATGCACAGCAAATTAGGATCAAATGTAGGAACAGCGAGCTGCTTTAAGGTACGGTCAGCCATCTCAAAATTTTCTTCAGTTTCCTCCTCCGAAGATGAACTCTCACTTAGAGGCAACGGAATCTGACGAGCTTGATCCAGTATTTGAGCACGAGTCCTTTTAGCTACAAAAGACGTAGAAAAAGGATTAATTATAAGTCCCTGGTTCCTTGCTGCAAATTCCCTTAATCTTTGATTCTTCAAATATCTGTCACACATAAACACACAAGGAACTAGATGACAAGTTAATAAGGAAAGTTAGCAAAAACACAAGTATTAATGTAATAAAATGCCAAGTCCCCGGCAACGGCGCCAAAATTTGGTACGACTGTCGCGTGTCTACCAAAAATAAACCTAACTAAAACCTCCAAAAATGTAGTAGGGTAATCTAGGGTCGATCCCACAGAGAATTGGATTATCAAATCATTACTTGTGTAAGTTAGAAACCCCTGTTTTGAACAAATAATGATATGATCTAATAAATAAGCTACTAGCTAGATAACAAATAAAATACGGGGAAATAAACTAATAAAAATTGGAATACGATAAAATCAAGAATAATGAAATAGGGAATCGGGAGATGTATTATAACATTGGAGTATCAAATATTGCTCATCGAATTATACGAATTATGTTTATATCTTAATGTTAACCAATGAACACAAACAAGCATTCAACACTTCCCTTATTTGCAAATACACCAAACGAGCTCTCGGAATATCGTCTAACTAACTAATAATCTAGAACAAGCTCTCTAGACTCGATTAATTAGCCGCATTAATAACAAGGAAGTAGTTAACTTAGGCCACAAATCTCACAAGCTCGGACTTGTGCCACTCAAGTGGTTGATAATCTTAGGTATTACGACAAGTTTTAGTCACCAATCAAACACCTAATCACTACTAATGGTATTAACTAGGACAATTACGGATCAAAAGTTAATACTCTAGCGATTAAACTAGCAAATTACACTAAAGATGGCCGGTCAAAAATATAATCCTACTAGTTCATAATAATCAAACGGATTATCAAAGCAATTAAGATATAAGCATAATACCCAATAATTACAACAAATCTATTCTCACAATCTAATAATCCAATGCACAATATATCTCCCTACCCACTAATAATCTAGCCTGACATATTAAGAATTAGAATCATAACAATGACAATTATATCACTCATATGACTAAAAAGAAAGAAAATAATAATTGAGATTGAACAACTTCGTAGATCATCCAACAAATAATCAAATTGCAATTATTATAAATCACCTAATCTAACAAAGAATTGAAACAATAAAAACAAAAGTAACTTAGCAAATTCTACTACTTTATCCAACGAATTATCATTAACTGAAGCCATACATGCAAAGCTATAAGCTACTAACTAAATAAAGAGTACCAATTATTAGAGTTGAACTTTGGGGAATCAACCATGAGCAATGAGCAGATTCATAAATTGCTTCTTCCTTCCTCTGCTAGCTTCAATTTTTTTCCCCCGATATCACTCTACCCCAATTCAGATATATACTTCCATTTTATAGTCAACCTAGCCTCCAAATCATCCCCCCAAAAAATATGAACTGAATTCCCTAAAGAGCTCCTCTAACATAAAGATAAGAGGCGTTTGATTGATCTTAGCTGCTCCGAATATTTCGCTCCAATAATTATCTGATTTCATCCTTTTCTTCTCTTGCTTGATAATTTGATACCCGCGAAAATCGGTAGAGGTTTTACTTTGTGAACCCGCAAGAAAGAGATGTTCATGAGCTACCCTTCCTCTTTTGTTCTAGCTAGTAAGCAACTGATATACTCCAAGGCCCACTTGGCTATTTGCAATATAACATTATTGGGTTAACACATAAGTTAGTTGATCGGGCTTGTGACCTTTGCGTCGTTTATTCCGAGCCGCAATAAAATATTACTTTGATTACGTAATCTTCCAAATAGTAGTAACTCGTGTCTCGGAAAGAAAAATTACTTAATAAACATTTAAATTAGTAAAAGTCAATATAAAAACAAGAGTCTAATAAATAAAATAATGTACTTTTATGACCTTATCATGAGGATGAAAGTCTTTTCTTAGATAATACCAAGGAAGACTCGTCAAGTCTAAAGGGGATGTTTGAAAACTGCAAGATGTTGTTGCCATGCTCTTGAATGTGGTAGAAGGACTAGCAAATCGGGTGATGGTTATCGAACAAAATTCTCGCCAAGGATTTAATAAAGAACTCAATGCTCCTAAGCCACGGGCAAAACAGACCATTGAAGAATACACACCAATAGGAATGATTTACAATGAAGCTTTTGACTGTCTTCACGATCAAGGTCTCATTCACCCCATGGGTCCCAGTCAAGACCCTCCGCCTGAAAAACGGTTTCCCAATTGGGATCCAGATTCTTATTGTCGATACCATAGAGGTTGTGGTCACACCACCGAAGTATGTCTCGCCCTCAAAGATCGTGTTCAAGATCTAATTGATTCAAATCTCCTTCATGTTCCCCCGCGCGACAAGAAGGCCAAGATTAGTAACAATAAAAACAATGGTTGTAAAGAAAGAAGAACGACTATCCTTCTTCTTCTGAAAACACTTACTCTAGTAACAATATTTGTACTTTCGACCTTAATGAATCTTAGCCATGGATAATGAAGGATTTAGAAAGCAACTGAGAAAGGATTTCACCCCTATTGGAATTAGCTACGATGATGCTTTCGATCGACTCCATGCCAAGGGACACATTACTCCTATTGGACCTATTCAAGATCCCCCACTTGAGAAGAGATTGCCTAGTTGGAACCCAAATGTACGCTGCAACTACCATCAAGGTAGGGGTCATACTACTGAGAGCTGTTGGAAACTAAAGGAAGCAATCCAATATTTGATCGACAATAACGGGCTTCCAATACCTCTAGTCAACAAGGACACCAAGTGATGATAAACACAAGACAAGAGGCGAGCTGCAACAACAAGATTTCATGATCTTTCTTTTTTCTATTTCTTTTTCATTTTTTCATCTCCCCGATAAGTCTAGCATAGGCACCTTTCTTTTCCCTTAGATTAATTTTGTAGATTATTCTTTTTCCCTTTTAATAAAATGAGCATTTATTTCCTTGCATATGATCATTACATTGCAATAAAAAAAAATTAAAAAAATAAAAAAATAATTCCATGTCAAACTAAGCACAAGGTATACCGATGATTTGAGGCATCCCTTGTAGCCATATCATATTACCTTTCACCCTTCAAATACACAATCATTTTTTGATAAACCACTTTGATCCTCGTCCGATAGACCGTTCATTTTTAAACCCATATCTACCTAACTTTGGGATGGGATGGTGTGCAACTTATGCAATTTTAATTTCATAAAAAGCTTGAGTGACTTCAAAAAATTAAAATAGCAAAAAATAAGCAAAAAATAAATAAAAGTGTACAAAAGGGTAAGTGTTCCAATGTCTTTGATATGAAAATATCTTTGATATGAACACGTCTTAGATTGCGTCTCTTATCAGTGCTCAGTACCGCGCCTGAGAAACATGAATGCCAAGTGAGTGATAGACCACATGATCGGGATTGCCCACACTTATTAAAATAAAATAAATACTAAAGCAAAAAAGAGCTAAAAAAGAGTAGAAAGCCTCAAGCATAAAAATATAAAGATTCAAAAGCGAGGTTGCACACCTTGGGGGCTTATCTAGGGTCTTGAGCCTTTATCCTCTTCTTCTTCAAGCCTTTAGCCTAACCACGTTACAACCCTTAAAAAGACCTTTTTGAGGTATACACACTTGTGCGAGGTTCGGCTAGAGCTGCGTTCGGCCTGATTCCTAACGGATACGTAGGCAACCTCACATCGAGGTGCGGCCGTAATAAACATGCATTCATATTCACATTCACACACTTACACCATTATCATATCAAGGGATCTCCTATGCTCATCCCTATCTACTTAGAGCTAGACTTGGGGGCTTGATCCTTACATCATCGGCTTACCTAGCCTAAAGAGTCACCATCATTTGACTCTTCTTGAAATAATATCTTCCCACACACTTAGCCCTTGCGGCCTAACTTTAGTATCACTATCACACACTGCACAGATACATGACCAAATACTCCTTCCCTTAGGAACCCTTTTCCATGGAATCTTAACACAAAGTTAAAGCATACTTCGTCATAACAAAATCACTCCTCAATCATTATCATCATTGCATTGAAGTATGAAGTGCTTAGCCTCCGTGCCTAATTTACCTAAATACTTTCATTATCGAGTCAACTAGGATAGTCTAAGATGTTACAATACTTGTACTGTAAGAAACAACATTTGACTAAGCTCATTCAACATGCATCTTTAAAAAAACTTCACTTCAATTCTTTTTTCGCCCGTTTCTTTTTCGGGAGAAAGTCAGTACCCTCCACAAAAATGACAAAAAAAAATTTCTTTTTTGCATTTTCGAGTCGCACAATCATAATACAATGCACACACGGGACATGAGTCACACGTGTCATTTCACTTCGAGTCGAGTCAACCGCGAGTCAATCATAGTGACAAGTTTATACCTTGAGTCATGTCAAGTCAATGAGTCAAGCAACACTAAGTCTTAGGTCAATGCTAAAGAAATATAAGCAAAGTCCTATGGTCAAAGATATAAATGCAGATGCATCCGAGCAAGCAAGGACATTCCTGGATCTTTTTTTCGAAAAAAACCGCGAATATGACACAGGAGATTCCTCTAAGATAAGAGGAGTTACATGGGTTAGTATATTATAGATGAAGAGCTTTAATTTACAAAAGATTTGAGCGGATTTGGTTGAAAGTAAACGACCAAGCTCACAGTTCGGAGCAAAACCAAGCAACAGCGGCAGCAAGAGCAGAATAGGGAAGACCCGACTCCAGCACCAGAAGACAAGGTTGTCGTATGGAAAAAACATTTGGCGTTTAGCAACATATTTCAACGCCTGGCGCTAGATGCCAGCGTCTGGCGATAGAGCCAATTCTTGGCGCTAGAGATATTTCAGCAGCGATAGAGCTCGAAGCCTCTCAGAATGGTTATTTCGATCTCATACAACAATTTCGGGTTCCTTGGTACGTCAGTTAGCCCCTATAAGCAAATTGACATGATTAGTAGTCGGCTCGATTACAATCGTAGTAATTGATTGACCTGACAAAAAAACGTCTCACTTAGCTTAAGCGCCTAAAACACTGGCTCATTACAAGCACCAACGTATCAGTTTAAAAGCAAGCACTTAAACGACAATATTTCCAAATACGGATTGTCGCGCATTCTTCTTAAATGACAATTTTTCCAAAAATTTGATTGTCATCCCCAACTGAAAATATTTCCAAAAATGGATTGTCGTGCATCTTCTTAAACGACAATTTTTCCAAGATTGGATTGTCATCTCTGGCAAAGTTCCCAAGCGTGGATTGTCGTGCTCCTTCTCTGTTTGGCAATTTTTTCTAAGTTCGGATTGTCATCGCTGGCAAGTTTTCCGAGATTGGATTGTCGTACACCTAGTTTCCTATGGAAAAATTTCCCAAAGGATTGTCGTAGGACTCTATTCATCATAAATTTCGGCATAGGTTCTTCAACGTGGATTGTCATTCATTTCAGTAAGTGGAAAATTTCCCTAAGTGGATTGTCGGTCGACTCTTTTTTGCAAATGTTCCAAGACGCGGATTGTCAATAGTGGCAATATTTTCCCAAAAGGATTGTCGCATAGCGTTGGCAAATTTCCAAAGTGAATTGCTTTCAAGAGTTTTATTCCAAGATGTGGATTGTCGATCGTAGCAAAATTCTTATGACAGATTGTTACGAAGCATTGGCAACTTTTCCCAAAAATTGGATTTTGGCAAATTTTTCGAGATACGGATTGTCGCTTCATCGTGGTAACATTTCCAAGGATGGATTGTTATGAAGCATTGACAAATTTCCCTAAATCGGATTGTCATACATCATACAAGAGAGTTGTGTAGGCAACTATTCCCAAAGAAAAGAGGATTGTCATCACAGAAAAATCACCTACATACAGGTTCAAAAGCAACAGAAGCGTCGACGTACAGGCATAGTGGAAGCAAAGTTTAAGCAAACTTTTAAAGATCGACAAGCGGAGGTCTTCGATAATTTTCTTTAAAATATTATCGCAATAAATGAGGGTAGCTTCAAGCGAGGATATCTTCGGCAATGTTCCCTAGCTTGCGGAGAGTTGTCACAAACAACTAAAGGTGATTTCAAGCGAAGTTGTCTTCGATCGTGTTCCCTAAGATGTGGAAGATGGTCACAAAGCGGAAGAGGATCGTTTCAAGCAAAGCAATCTTCGATAGTGTTCCCTGACTTGCGGAAGATTATCAAAGCGAAAGTTGGAGGCAGTTACAAGCGTAGCAGTTTTCAAGCAGGATGGAATTCTCTAGCTTGCAGGAGGTCGTCAAAACAGCATACAACAGTAAATGGGTTACTTTCAGAGACGTGTGCTCGACGGTGCAAGATACGCGTTTCTTAACTCTCTTATCTATTTTAACTAACGCTAGTTTGCAGGTATCAGCGTTACAAGAGTGATTTAGGATCGTAGAACGTTCTGAATCATTCTCCGTCCCTATCGCTACTTTGACTTTTGTTTTCGAAACTTGCGTTTCTCCAAACTCAGTCAAAGTGGGTGCTTCTATAGACACCCATTTGTGTCTCCCCAAAACAAAACCCAGTGATGAGTACCTTTCACGTCGAATCACAATCGAATGAAGTGAAAGTGTGGAAAATTTAGTGTTGCGGATAGTTTTAATTTCTTTTCTCTTCTCTCTGTTTTTGAAAACCTATTTTAAGAAAATATCCAATCCAGTTTGGTTGGTCCATGATATAGGTCCGACAGTAGTGTAGTTGGATAGGGTTTGAAAAGAGCTTTCTGACGATAT